CATGTTTGCAAAAAATGAAACATTTCGCGATTTCTCTTCAAACGCTCAAGTATTGTGTTCTTCGCTTCATGTCGAGATCCTTTCCTCTCCACATGCACGTCTTCATCGAGTCACGACTTTAACACGTTTGCCGCCGCTGTGCTGCGTTTCTGTAGTTGTGCCACAAAAATGCCGCAGAGTCCAAGTCGTGTTGACCTGTGCCAGCTGGAGGCTCGATTATGATTGTCTAGGTTTGGCAAAAGGGCACTGGTATTTCCGGAGAGCTGTAAGTGGCCGGACCGTGCAGCGATTACCAAAATTAGGCCGGCTCCTGGACCACCCTGGGCCACAATTTAGGATTTTAAAAATTGATTTTGGGGAAGGTGGGGAGGGGAGGAGAGAGGGGGTTTGGGCGAAAGTATGCGGTGCTTTTGAAAAATTATCGAAGCGCAATAACTCGCATAGTTCGTTGGCCACGTGTTGTGAATTGGCTGTGCGCCACGCTGCGGCTGAGTTTTCTTGATCTATTTTTTTGTTATGAACATCCGCGTACAGCATTGTAAAAATGGATCGCGTTTAGACCACGTTTTTAGAAAAATCGTGCTCAATATTTCAAAGCTGAAGTAATAGATAATATGTATATATGCATAATATGTATATATGCATAATATGTATATATGCATAATATGTATATATGCGTGTACGCTTTCAACTTGTGTTCATTTTGGAAGTCCGTATGTACGTAATGCGCCCACCTTGAGTACCCCTATGTTAAATAAACAGTGTGATTAGAAACACGAAATCACCACTACTGTTCTTGGTGTATTTATATATATGTCAGTCACTCGAGCGATTACACATAAACTACGTAATTCAATACCCTTCAGTGTCTTGAGTCTTGTTCTCTTTCATTATAGTATTGATTTACCAATATTAAGAATAACAGTGTGTCCCTTCCACATCTCGAGTATGTCTGCACATCAACACAAACGCGTCCAAAAACGGTATTCACGGCACATACCAAATTATCCTTAATACGAATGAATTAAAGCAAGAAGTATTCTTAAGCTTTCGAAAAATAATTGGAGTTGGGCAACACTTAGCCGTGATTTAAAAATTAGTTCAAGTGGCGTTGCCATTGCACTATAACTGTCAGCGTGCCAAGATGAAGCTGAATTACAGCTATTGCACAGGAATCTGTCTAAAGGTTTTTAAGTCAAGTTAAGACCAGCACTTTCTGAAATTACAGTAATTTAATGCAGGATTATTTTGGCATTGCACTGGCAGCATGTGGCTCGGTGTGTGTGTGTGCCTCTCAAGGCTGGCAATCATTCACCGCTGCATAATATACATCGGGGATTGTTAAATAGATTAGAGAAAAGTTGTCTGGAGGAGATCAGCAAAGTTGGAATGATGTTCGCTCTCCGAATTTTAGGTTCCGCACATGTGGCCAAAATCACAGGACCTTCAGATTTTTCACTCGGGGTCTTAACGGTCATACGCTAAACTGTTGGCAAAGTTTGTGTGTAACCAGGAGACAGAAAAAACACTGTTTCCTTGACAGCAGCCCTCAATCATTATGGACATAAGGCTCAAGAGACACTTGGGGGGGTTCATGTTTTTGTTGTTATTTTTTAATCCATTGAGCTGCTTACATTTTCTTCAGTCTTTTTTGTTAAAAATGAAATAGTTATTTTTTATCATGACAGATATTTAACACGCATTGAAAAGAACATCTTTATATGAGCAGTGATCAACAATTTTGGAGACAATTACATCTTAAAATTGCACTTACATGACTTAAATATGATACACGATTTATATTATATGTACTATTTATATTATAAACTATTTATAACTTTATCTGGAACATACAATATTAATCATGTGAAATATAACACAACCTCATGATTATGTTAACTACATAAAGAACAGCTAATTTGTGTTATGCACATGTTATATACTGTATATCATTCTCAAAACCTTTTCACTGCCCATTTTACCATATATATTAACACTTCTGTCCACACATTCTTTTACTTCAGCCAGTTCCGAACAAATTGATTTTCAAGGGAGATCATGGTTGTTATCCTTGATACCCCTCTATTCGTTTAGACTAAACAAACATTGCAATTGTGTTGTTGCTTTCTATGCCTTGCAAGATTGTCTTCAAGGTGCAATTGTATTTTCCTTTTATGTTTTACATTCATGGAATATATATTGCACCTTGAAGGTCATTTCACTCTCATCTTGCCCTCCTCCATGGTAGGTCCTGGAATAATCAAATTATAATTCTCGTTCGATAAATGGGGAATGGGAGAGCTGAATGGGAGAGAGAGAGCGAGCTGAAAGGTATGCGGAATGGTAGGATCTTCAAAGAGTGTTAAAATGTAATCATGTTTTTTAAGAAAGCAAAGACATCTGAAACTGGTTAAGAAGAACAACTTGGTGGAGACCAAAGTATTTTCATGTTCCAAAACATTTTTTAAAATTGGTATTTAATTAGAAACCTAAAGTCATGTGGCTCTGATCATCAATGTATTATGATACAATAGTAATTATGACCTATTAAAACATAGCTTTTTGGATCTATGTTATTTATATAAAGTGAGTTTTATGTTAAAGTGGCACCAACTACTTTAACTATTATCACAGCAGGATATATAATTTCAGTCTATGGGCTTCCAAATCGATTTTTTTTTGTGTTTTGGAATATCACAATTAGAATTGTTAGCTGGGTTATGAAAACATTTTTCTCGGATAAAACCGCAAATGTGTTTGGAGAGCTGATTCATTCAACTAATAGAAGCATTCTGTTGATCAGTAATTGTAAAAATCAGCCACAAAAAAAAAACACTTTATATCTAAGGCTTTGAATGTAACATAGCCACCATCAGGGTTTGCAAAGTCCAGTCTGCTCACTTTGATCCCGTGTATAACGTTAGTTATTAAAACGTATTAATGATTCACTTTCTTGGGTGAAAGCCAGACATACAATTTCTTATCGATAAAAGGGATATGGTAATACAAAGGTGGCTTTTATTGCCGCATTGTAAGCTTGTAACACAACCAAGTTCACCCTCCAACGCCCCATTTTAATGTACAGTTCACTCGCCATAAATCTCAGCAACTATTTCAGTTTGTGAAACGTGGAAATGAGAAGCGTCTTGTATTGCAGTATATATATAAATACAGTTACACATGTATGTTGCACAATTGAATTCCTAACATTTCCAGATGTTTAGGAACTACCGTTCCTCCCAAACATTTTTTTTGTAAAATAATAAAATCAGTTTGTTTCATATTTTTTATCCATGTGTTAACATTCAATTTGTCTTGCTATGTGCTAATATTTCATGCAATAGTATAAACGTACGGGCGGTAATTTCCGAGATGAACTTTGCACAGTTTACATTCTTCAACCTCAGCGTGTGTGTGTTTATTTTGCATTCTTTTATAGAAACGTGTAACTTTAATGCTTACATACACTTAAATGTACTCCTAAAACAATGTGTGGCATGGTATTTAAATAAACTGTTTCATCTTCATGGTTCTTTCGGTAAAGTCACGTAGAATGGAAATAATTAAATAATAAAAATAAAACATAATTCTTTTATTATGTATTAATAAAATAATAAAAATAAAACATAATTCTTTTATTATGTTTAATTTATATTTATATTATTTAATTATTTCCATTCTACGTGACTTTACCGAAAGAACCAAGAAGATGAATCCCTGCAGTCACGAAAGCTTTAAATCGAAACGGTTTCACATCAACTTTCTGTGTATTATAGCCGTAACCTGCAATTGAACTGCCATAAAACAGGGGGTCAAGGGGCAGACCTGCATCGTTTTGCTCACGTCACTGCCGGTGGAAGGACCTCCACGAGAGAGAGCTCTAGAGAGTCCCGCTACAGGGTTTTTTGGCCTCTGACCTGCTGATCCACGAACTGTTGTGAACCCATTTCTACTGCTCGGTGAACAGAGGCGTGGAGGGGGGGGGGGTGGAATTTAAAAAGATAGTTGCCCATTGCTGGGAGATCGAACCGGCGGTAACCTCTCGCTAGTCCACGGCAGCATCCCTGACCTGCTGAAGCCAAATCTTACCAATGCTTTCTACCTTGTGCCATATTCCGTAGCTGCTGTACAGCAGGTCTTCCCCTTGGTCGTCGACAACCTGAGTCATCGAGTTGTTGACAACCTGATTCGTCAAGTCGTCAACAACCTGAGTCGTCAAGTTTTCAACAACCTGAGTCGTCAAGTTGTCAACAACTTGAGTCGTCAAGTTGTCAACAACCTGAGTCGTCGAGTTGTTGACAACCTAATTCGTCGACAAACTGATTCGTCAAGTTGTCGACAACCTGAGTCGTTGATAACCTGAGTCGTCGAGTTGTTGACAACCTGATTCGTCGACAACCTGAGTCGTTGAGTTGTCAACAAACTGAGTCGTTAAGTTGTTGACTACTTGAGTCGTCGACAACCTGAGTCGTTGATAACCTGAGTCGTCAAGTTGTCAACAACCTGAGTCCCACGACAAAACGACAAACCTGCCTCCCCTCTCTACGACACATGAATAGATGTTCTCTAAATAGCAAATATCCCAACAAGCTCTGAAGGCAATCTTTGGCTTCATCTGTATCTTTGAATTTACCGATATCTTAAACTTCACACCAATCACAGGAGTTGGCTTGTTTGTATGTATGTTGAACTTCTTTTGCATCATATGTAGCCAACTGTGCTGATCAGAAGTGTGCGGGGGAAGGACAATAAACGAAACACATGAAGCAGTTCTAAAGAAATGAGTTTTCAAACTAGATTTTAAAAGTGCATAGCTGCAGTGGCTTCCTAACATCGGAAGGAAGAGCGTTCCAGACGGCCGCAGAAGCGCATCTGGAAAGCGCGCGATGCGGCGACCGTCTTTGTTCGACGGCCAGCCAGAAGCCGCCGCTGCGAGGATGACCGGAGTCTGCGCGATGGTTTACGCCCCTTGACGAGGCTTGGCATTGTCTTTCGTTCAGGCCCCCCGCGGGTGTCCGAGCGGGTGAGCGACCGCGTGCTGGCACGGGTGGGGCGCACGCTCAAGTTGTCGTGCCCCGTGGAGGGCGACCCACCGCCCCTCATCATGTGGAGCAAGGACGGGCGCAACATCCACAGCGGCTGGATGCGCTACCGCGTGCTGCGCGACGGCCTGCGCGTCACCGAGCTGGAGCCTGACGACGCCGGCGTCTTTACCTGCCAGGCCACCAACGGCTTCGGCAGCGTCACCATCAACTACTCGCTCGCCGTTATCGGTGAGACCCGCTGAGGTTGAGGGAAACGTCCACGACGGAGGCAGGGGGGGGGGGCGCAAAGGGGGCAGAGACGGCTTACTTTGTTACTCTGCTGCACGGGGCAGTGCTCGTGATTCAGAGAATGTGAACAACGGAAACGCAAAAGTGGGGGAATGATTTTTGAAACTATGTTTGCACGTTGAACTTCTTTCGCACCGTACAAAGCCAACCATGCCCGTCGGAGGTGTTACATGAGGATGGAGTGGTGGTACAATGATTAATGCACTGCACTATAAACAGGTCAACAGAGTTTCATATCTGGCCATGGCTAAAGGACCCCCTTGGGAACGACTCTTGTGACTCGGTGAGGATTTACTGGGTAAACGAACATAATGCATGATGATAACATCAATGCCAAGTGATATCTGATATGGTTCTTGGTCTCCCTTTCACCAACTAATACTTGTTGTACAATTTTTATTGAAATAGCAAATGTAAAACAATATAACAAAAGCTGAGAACAAAAGAACCGACATCGTCTGGAGAGGCCTTCTTCCACCAGTAGATTGTCAAATGCCTATAAATTATGATTAATTTAGTCATCTGCCTCGAGCAACCAGTTTATGGACTGAGTACATTTGCCAACTAAATGCTAGCCCTAACCTTAACCATCCAGCCGACCAGCCATTTGTAGTAACCCTCCCATTAGCCGTAGCCCAATCTCTGTCATTTTTCATTTTTTGTTCTTTTTAGTATTAGTGTTCAGTTCACAGCCGCATGAAGAAGCTGCACTAACATAATGCATTTATTTATTATATGGAATCTTGTACAGTATCTATTTGAGTGCGATTGCATGCTTGTGTGATGAGCAGTGGTGTCGTGGTTACCCACATTGAGATACAATAATTTCCTACACATAGACAATACCAGTGGAAATCTGAATATGAACCCAGCCAAGGTCTCCTTTAGGCCAACTGGGCCTGGAAATTGGGAGATATATGCCTGGTGCAGTGCGTCAACATCAGCGCTTACGTTACAAAGGGGACACTACAGTGTGACACTCCACTGCTCCTGACGCGATCATCTGGCTCGCACACCTGAATATGAAATGATAGCTGTTGCTCTGCATCTACTTTAGCCGTGCGAAAGAAGAAGCAGTTTGGGAAACGAAAGTAGTCGGCATTCTGCGTCCCACCTCATCCAATCGTGCTTTTTACAGCCAGGCGTAATACATGCCCGCAAACATCACTTACCCCAACAATCCAAAGGGCTAAACGGGGGCATCGGTGTATGTTTTGTTGAAACACGCGTATCATTTCCTCTGCAATCCCTTGTCTTACTGTGGCCAAACTTTTAACACCAGTGAAAAGTAAATTAGGTCTCGTAGTGCCTGCCAAAAAAAATCACGTTTTTTTATTTTCCGGCAGTCAACATTTGTATATAAACACACGTTCGCACATGGATACAAACATTAAATCAGAAACGGACTTGACGTAGCCCCAAAAAGGCCCCATTTCAATACATTAGGCTCCGTGCCAGTGTGTCTCTTTGGCTCAGAGTATTTTCTACCTTTATTTTGGAACCCTGATGTCTAGTGAGCAGTGGGAACTTTTCAGTCAAAGTCTCTCCATCACAGTAGCAAGTCCTCAACATCATAAAAATGCCTTTTTATGCTACACACAGGGACGAGTATAAAAATAGACGTATATGTTTTCCTGTCCATATACGAGGCCTTGAGACAACAAGCACTGTAATGAAATTGACAATTTTTTTTGTAAGCCAGAGTCATGAGTGCATTCTTACTTTCTCCACACTTTCATAAACACGCGGGAGATGAGCAATATGAGCAAACCATTTAGTCATCGCAGATCATGGTGTAACAGAAGAAAGAGAAAATTTCAATGTCAAATTTGATCGATGTGGCGGCAATTTTTTTTTTTATGCGGCAATGCCTGAAACCCACGAAAAAAAACTCCTCAGCGACATCGTAAATCCAGCAGCTCACGAGACTGGGACTAAATTTACACGGCAAAAAAAAATCAGAATTCGGCAGTGCGGGTGCACAGGGAGACACCTCAGTCTCCCATCGTCCAATGAACATTTCTTCGAAAAACTACATCTCACATGATTTTTCTATCTCCGTGGAATCTGCCTGCACAACTCCCGAAACCCAACTGTGACAGAGTGGCCACAAGTTGGGGTGGCAGGTTTTTTCTTTGTAGCCCCACAATGCAAAAACACGTGTCCACCCAGAAATTGACGATGGGGCGAGAGGAAATTCTTCGACGTTAAACAGAGACGCCGCACCTGTCGGTGAAGTCTAAACACGGTCGCGTCCTCTTTCCCACAATTCTCTCTTTGCCGTCGTGCGTGTCGATCGTCGCAACCGGTGTGAGCCCAGAGAGCCTGCCTCTTCTGTTAAAGTGCAGGTATCCGTGCATGCGCACGCAGCGCACACCGCAAAGGGCATGTCACACGCTTGCTCGCGGTATTGGCCAGACTGGTTCCCGTCTCGTTTGAGATGATGCTCTCATCTGTGGTTATGAAATTGCGTTTTTGGTGGCGTTTGTAACTGACACGCAATGACAAAGTCATTACACTTCACTTTAGGCCAATATCACTATACCCCCTTATCTCCCTGATCTTTGTCAATCCACCGCTGGATGAAGACTTCCTCACACTATAGGCTATCGGGGTTGGTTCATTATACTTCGCCATGCTGGTTCGTACGAGTTGGTGAAGTTAAGGCACCGTGGGTGTTTTGCTGTGACAGGGCATTAAATGATATCGGTGGATTATTAATGCAGTGCGCTAACCACTGTGTCACCGCTACACTCTACACCAGATTATTGCTGTAGAATTGCTTTGCCAGTATAAATTGTTACATGACTACCTTATATAATATTAGGAAGAAGAACCATGTAAAAATGGTCACACAGGTTATCATGGCAGGACTTAGAAAGCTATGCTATCAATATAAATATGTACACAGTATAAGTTAATTGAAAGCAGGTACGTACTGTGTCACGGTTTACTTTATTTATCTTCCTACCCATTTGAGATCTGTTTAAATATTTAAACAAACATTCACAAATCGCATACTTTCTTTGCAGCAATGTTAATTTATTAGGAGCAGAAAATCGGAAAGGGAAATGTGTTTTGTTTCCAGAAAGGCTCAAGTGAAAGTGACTTTGTAAAAATAATAATGAGTGTTCCATTTCCCATCTATACTCGAACACGTGCGTGGTAATTAAGTGGGGGCCTCACATTTCTTTACAGCTACACCATAAATTTCGATTTAAAGCTTTCGTGACTGCAGGGATTCATCTTCTTGGTTCTTTCGGTAAAGTCACGTAGAAGGGAAGTAATAAAATAATAAAAATAAAACAATAAAATAATTCTCATGACGTTTCGGCCACAACGCAAGCAGCCGTCCTCAGGTGAAGACCAGGCCCGTCGGGGAGACAGCGTCTAAATGTCTCCCCGACAGACCTGTTCTTCACCTGAGGACGGCTGCTTGCGTTGTGGCCGAAACGTCGTGAGAATTATTTTATTATGTATTATTTTTATTATGTTATTACTTCTCTTCTACGTGACTTTACCGAAAGAATCAAGAAGAGCTACACCATATTTGTTAAACCTTAAAAACATAGAAGTATTGTATTTCGAGATCATTGGAAAACTTGTCTCAATTCGGCCCTGTGGCTCACCTGGCTTGGTGCGTATTGACTGAAAATGTGATTTTCGAAAGCGGGGCGTGGGGGCAGCAGAGCAGAGGAGGAAGCCCCCCCATCTCCCCCTGCACAGGAGAAACATCTTGTGAGATTCCAAGTCGTGGTGCAGGCTGCGCAATGTAAACACGGGTGGGGGGTGGCGTGGAGCGGAGCTCAAGGATGGGAGTGGGCAACTCGAGTATTTTTTTGTGTGCTCATAAGTGAGCATTGTCCCGTGTTGTAGCAAATCGTGCGTAACGATGTGGCCGTTTTATGCGCGACTGTCAGTGGAAATAATTAGTTTTACAATTTGCATAAAATATTTTATATAATAATCGGTGCAATTGAGCTGCTATCGGACAAACATCCCAATGCTGAAAATGTACCTGCAAATGCCTCCAATGGAATTAGACACAGCTGCAATATCGCCCATCTACTGTGAAAACTTAAAAGAGTTGAGACTCGGTGAGGCTTTTACAAGTATAAAAATAATAATACGAATAATAAAGAACGAGTGTACTCAATGAATATATGTTACATTATTTGAGAAACTGAAACTGTACTGGGCTTCCACAAACATGTCTGGGACAAACGTGCAATACCTTTCGTGTATACGCTGAAATGCAGCGTGAAGCAAAAAACAAATGTAGATTTTTTTTTATGTGCGTCAGTATTTAGCATCTACTTAATACACAATACTGGCAACACAGGTGGTTTATCGTGCATCAAATAGCTTAATGCCATTTTAAAAATAGGTTTTTCTAAGACGTTTCTGTTCACTGCAGTGCGACGTGCCACCAAGCCATCTAATTTTGTTTGGGGCGCATTGTGTCGGCCTGCCTTGTAAAAATGCCTTACATTAATGATCTTATTTCATGCTTATTGAAAATACTGCCAATGATGTTTAACCAAATCCACATGCTAAAGCACCACCAGAAGAAATATAATTAAGACTTGATCCATAAAAAAGCACTTACAAGGAGACGAATTTGGCTGCAAATTTTCTGCCAGGGATTTGTTTCATGTCAAGTGAACTCGTTATATGCATTTCAGCGAGGAATTTCACAACGGCTTGCGAGAGCCCAACGCAAGTATGCAAATGTCAATAGGTTAAACAACTCTCCAAGAAGCTCATTGTTGTTCCCGGCAAACTTTTACATTTCTGCCAATAAGGTCCGGGGTTTTTATTTTTAGTTTTGACCTTTGGTAAATTGTGTAGAATATATTGTTTATCTCCAAGGCTGCCATGAAACATTCTGCAATATAGAATAATCGACTTTTTCATGCCCATAGGAATATGACGTGCCT